ACAATAGGAAATTATGTAAGTTGCACATCAGTTTCCTATTTGTGAGATGGGAAACTTGCTTCACACTCCTGTGGCAATAAAATGAAATAACATAAAAGCATGTGCCTAGCACACAATAGGCAAATACTTCATGAGAACTGTATATCTAAATTGCCAATTTAGGTATTTAGCCACTAGGCACCGGTAGCTCACATCTGTAATCCTAACAACTCAAGAGGCTGAGATCTGAGCAGAAAAAGCTTAGAGAAAGTGCCCAGGTCCTGAGTTCAAGCTCCAAGATGGACCAAAGAAAAAGGATATGCTTTCATGGCAATACTTTGAAGATTAAAATTGTAATTCCATAGACTGTATTTTGCTTTTTAAAGAGTTTAAAGAACATGTCATCCCAGTAGCACACAGCTTGTCATTGTCATGCTATTCATAAAATGTAATAGCCTCCTGTGCTTGTTCTTTTTTTTTTAATGTTTTTTATTTTAAAAATAGTGTAGAGAGGGGTTACAGTTACATGAGTAAGGTAATGAGTACATTTCCTATCAAGCGTTGTTACCTCCTCCTTTGTTTATCCCCTACAATCCCTTTCCTCCACACCTCCCCAACTCCCTGCCCCCAAGTTGTAAAGTTCGTTTTCAGCAGTGTCTTGTACATGTACTTTGCTCTTCTGTGCTCTTCTCTCTCAGAGAAGGAAGGCATGGTTTTTCATACAGTTTTGTATATGTATTTGTGTGTCTTTAACTTGATCCTACTGTAGTGGCGACTCCAGAAAACTACTGACTAATCCAACTGCAGCATGTCATTTTACCATCCTGCTTATAAATTACTTCTCTTTTTAGCTTTTTTTTTTTTTTTTTTTGCCAGTACTGGGGCTTGAACTCAGGGATTGGGCACTGTCCCTGAGCCTCTTTGTGCTCAAGGCTAGCACTCTACCACTTGAGCCACACAGTACCACTTCTGGCTTTTTCTAAGCAGTTTATTGGGTAAGAGTTGCACAGACTTTTCTGCCCCGGCTATCCTAAGATCTCACTATCCTAAGATCTCAACCCCTTGAGTAGCGAAGGATTGTAGTCATAAGCCACCACCACCCAGCAAGAGGGCATGTATTTAGCCTGCTAAATATTTATCCATAATCTGCTGTATAATTGTATTTGCTTTATCTACCAAACAACCAAATGCTATAATGTAGCCAAAAATTTTACTCAATATTTCTGATCACAACATAGCTACTGCCTTATATTTGATTTCAACTCATAAAACTAAGGAAAATTTTTGTGCCCAACTGAAAGCCAGATTAGAATCTTTATTCCATTTACTTATAGCTTTGCAGCCTTGAGTAAATTATTGCCTGTTTCAAGACTTAGTTGTGAGATTCAAATGAATCAACTACAGTGTTTTAACACTAGATTTTTACAGAAATGTGATTATTCATCACAAAGATAAGTGTTTATTAATACTTTAAAGCTTAGTAAATTTACTGACAATTTTTAAGCCATCTGAAGGAATTTATATTAGTTTATTCTTCTTTATTTGGATACTTAACCTGAACAATATTTCAAAAATATGTAAGACAAAATATGAGTTATAAATGTTCTTAAAATTAAACCTTTTGTACTACAAGAATTATTAACAAGCCTGGCTCACGCCTGTAATCCCAGCTACCCAGGAGGCTGAGATCAGAGGATTTCAGTTCAAAGCCAGCCTGGACAGGAAACTCCTTGAGACTCTTTATCTCCAGTAAACCACTCAGAAAACTGGAAGTGGTGCTATGGCTCAAGTGGTAGAGTGCTTGCCTTGAGCTGAAGAGATGAGGGACAGCACCCAGGCCCAGAGTTCAAGCCCCATGACTGACAAAAGAAAAAAAAAAAGAATTATTAACGGTTAAAGCGTTGTCTTAAAAGGCTGGGGAAAATTCATTTACTTTGAAAATTATTTTTCATTTCTGCAGAGGGGCTACCTAGTCTTAACGAGGATGTTCATAATTGATTTTGGAAGGGCTTTCTTGTTTCTCTATGACACAATAGATATCCCAAAGCTTCAGGGTAGTCCTTACTATATTATAGAATATAGAGAGGTGAAAGCATTTTTTACTAACAAAAAATAATTGACCTGTATCCTTATATCTGGCATTTGCTATATGACTTTGAGTAGATTTTCAGCTTTGCTTATTTAACTTCGTCATTCACCCTAAGGAAATTTCTCATCCGATTAATAAATAATTGTGACTAGCTTAGGCAACTGTTGTTTTTGAATCATAAAGCCATTGTAAATTAGCACACTACATAGGTTGTTTTGATGTATGTTGGCTTGAAGATTAAGATCACATTTAGCAAATGTCTAGCAAATATGTATTCATGTCATTTAGTATCTTAACCTTCTTTCTATCTCTAGCTTACCTCCTTGGGCTTACTTTTCTCTTAAGCTTGATTTTTCTTACCTATATTTAATTATTTTTATTTTTATTTATTTATTTATTTATTTTGTCGGTCGTGGGGCTTGAACTCTGGGCCTGGGCGCTGTCCCTCAGCTCTTCAGCTCAAGGTGAGCACTCTACCACTTGAGCTACAGCGCCACTTCCGGGTTTTTTTGGTGGTTTATTGGAGATAGGAGTCTCACGGTCTTTCCTGCCCGGGCTGGCTTTGAACCTCGATCCTCAGATCTCAGCCTCCTGAGTAGCTAGGATTACAGGCGTGAGCCACCAGCGCCCGGCTTAATTATTTTTATTTTTAAATCATTTTAACCTGTGGAAGCTGCCTTAAATTCTTGTTCTTCTAAGAAGAACAAATGAGCCCAGGGCATTTAATAAAACAGATAGTGCCTACCTTTCAGAGCCATTGTAGTATATATAATGAGTGTAATGCATAGCAGACATCATTAATTGTGGTTATAGGCTCTTTGAATTGAAGAACATTTAAATAGTTTTGTTTTAAAGGGAAACTAAAGCTTCAGAATAGCGGATTGGCCTGTTGCCATGTGGTCAGAAATTTTTCCATAAAAAAAAATGAGGATATCTGGAGATTCTTCTCCTTTTAGCCATAATCATAGTAAGATATACATGTTACTCATCTGTAACATGAAGGCATCTATCCATCTTAGACACAGCTTTTTATGTTCACAGGGTCCTGAATATTAGTGGAATTTTGTGATAAATGTAATACGTCTTTGTAGGGGATATTTTATAGTACAATTTCTCTATTTCAATCATATATATAAATGACTTAGATATACTTCTAAGAATTAGATTTTTAATTACTGTAGTTACTAATGACTTACATATAACATACCTTAAATTTGGAAAACAAAAATTATAACTCGTATAAATTGCTCATGAGCTCAGAATTCAAATATGTTCACAAGTTAGACTTTTTTTAATTACTCAAATATCTACCTGTCTTGTTAGTAGAAAGTATAACATCTTCCTTTTGAATGTTCTTTCCCTGAATAGTCCCAAGGACTCCAGAAGCTTATACATTTCCTGAGAGCTTATCAGTGGCTTTCATGTCTAAGATGTGGTATATGATCTGTGTACATAACATCTATGTTTGCAACAAAGAGATACACTACAATGCTGGGTGCTGGTGGCTCATGCCTGTAATCCTAGCTACTCAGGAGGCTGAGATCTGAAGATTGCGATTCGAAGCCAGCCTGGGCAAGAAAGTTCATGAGACTCTTATCTCCAACAAACTACTCAAAAGAGTAGTGGCACTGTGGCTCAAGTCATAGAGCACTCACCTTGAGCAAACGGCAGGGACAGTGCCCAGTTCAAGCCTCAGGACCAGCCAAAAAAGTTAGGGCGGGGAGCATAGGGAGAGACGGCAGTCTATTCAACCTATCCATACCATTGTACTTTCTTGCCTCATAGTTCAGGCCACCATGGTACATCAGAAAGGATATAGTCTTCCTTCGTTAATAAGCTCAGTTAGGATGCTCCATGAAATCTGGTAGTTGAACTTTAGCACCACGCTCATTCATTCACCGTCACAGATACCTCTCAACTGTATTCTAAGAGTAGCAGAAGTCAGGTCTGAGCCTCACATCTGTTGCTTTCTAGCCTTGACAATATTTCCCCTTTCCATCCTGGGATCCTAGGCCGTTATCAAACAAAGAAGGTTCAGGACCTCTGAGATATTGCAAGTACATCTAAATAAGGACCCCAATAGATCTTATTTCCACTCTTAGAAAGAAGACTACTGACATTTTCTCAAAAGAGATTCTCCTTTCTTAGGGAGGTTTCTCCAGTGATTTCCAATGTGTTCATATCTATACCTCTTTCCAGTAGTGATTTCAAAACATTTTTCTGCCTTCTCCCTTTTTAGGTGAAGGGGGGAATTTTTAATTTAATTTCTAGCAGGAAATTCTGACATACAATCTCAAACAGAAGAAGAGGGTTTGACTAGCTTTCAGATTACAAGAACCTTTGTGTTTAAAATAAATGAAATTTGGCTGGCTACAGCCATGGCTTAAGCAATATCTACAAGCAAGAAAGCTGAGCAAAAGCACAAGGTCTTGAGCTCAAGCCCTTGTACCAGAACCAAAAATAGATAAAAGAATAAAACAGGGCTGGGAAGGTGGCTCAGTGGTAGAGCACTTGCCTTGCATGCATGAGGCCCTAGGTTTGATTCCTCAGCACCACATAAGCAAAAAGAAAAATGCCGGAAGTGGTGCTGTGGCTCAAGTGGTAGAGCGCTAGCCTTGAGCTGAAGAGCTGAGGGACAGCGCCCAGGCCCAGAGTTCAGGCCCCACGACCAGACCCCCTCCCCCCAAAAAAAGAATAAAAATGAAATGAAGTGAAATTGACATGACGGTGAACAAATGGTAAATTTACTAAAATAATGGTGGTTATATGTGATAAAAAGATAACCAACTATTTTTTGTGTTTTATATTTATAAATAATGTGGGTAAAACTTCTTCACAGAAGGTTTAGGAAATTATTATTTCATAGCAAGTTTGGTCCATTCTATTCCAGGTGAAATATACGTATTCATTGGTTATTTTTGTTGTATTGCAGGCCTTTCGGGAAGACTTGGAATGCCTTATTCAAGAACAGATGAAGAAAGGCCACAACCCAACTGGATTACTAGCATTACAACAGATTGCAGATTACATCATGGCCAATTCTTTCTCAGGCTTTTCTTCATCTCCCCTCAGTATGTTAGTTTTGAAGAGTATAGTTTTGTCTTCTACTTTGGAATATTGTACTTCTCTAGCAGCATATTTTGCTTAAATTCAGCCCTTAGGTTTAGAACATCTAATATTTAACATAGTAGCATAGGGTTATCATCTCTTTTTCATACAGGCACTTACTAGACCTTGCATGGATTATGAAATCATATATAACATGGTCTCAGATTCAGATAAATATATGTTAATTAGTCAGAGGAGATAATGATAGAGAAAAATGTTACAATATAGTTCATAAGAAATTTTCTTGTGCTACTCTTAGAATACAGTCATCATGCTATGAGCTTAGAATTTGAGTGGATTGCTATCTACTGTCAGAAGTAGAATGAGGAAATGTAGTGGAAAAGGCCTTCCATCCTTCAGGCTTTGAAGGATGGAATAATTAGAGCTTGTTGAAAAAAATGGGTTTGGATGTTATATTTGGTCAACCATTCTTTTGTGAATGTACCAATTAGAGGTAAACATTCTACAGATGCAGAGATCTTAAGTTCTTACCTCTGCTATGAGATATATACAGAAATCTATACAGATATCTACAGAAACCTGTGCAGAGACAGGTCAGAATGCCAGAGACCACTTTAGGTCATATTCAAGGAGTGAGGGTTTTTCCTTTCCTTTCACTTGTGCCCTTTTTGTAAGAGATTGGCAAGTAGGATTTGTGTGTGGGGCGGGGGTGGTCCGGTCGTGGGGCCTGAACTCTGGGCCTGGGTGCTGTCCCTCAGCTCTTCAGTTCAAGACTAGTGTTCTACCACTTGAGCCATAGTGCCACTTCCAGCATTTTTCTTTTTGCTTATGTGGTGCTGGGGAATTGAACCCAGGGCCTCAGGCATGCAAGGCAGCGCTCTACCACTGAGCCATCTTCCCAGCTCCGGCAAGTAGGATTTTTAATTAAGTAGTTTTCAAGTACTTGAGACATAATGATAAGAACACACAAGATGAAGGTGAAGGAAACCATCATGTTGGTACATCTGAGTCCTGGGGTAGAAGTCTAGGTAGAACTACCCTGGGTAGTATGCAAGTGAATGCAAATATATCACCTGAAATGCTGTAGATTCAAGGGAGAACTCAAATAGTGTAATCCCTTCGGAAGGCAAAGTCAGAGGTCAAAAAATAAATACCAAGCTGGGCACCAGTGGCTCACACCTATAATCCTAGCTACTCAGGAAGCTGAGATCTGAGGATCATGGTTCAAAGCCATCCAGGGCAGGAAACTGCGTGAGACCCTTATCTCCAATAAACCACTAGAAAACCAGAAGTGGCGCTGTGGCTAAAGTGGTAGAGCACTTGCCTTGAGCTGAAGAGCTGAGGGACAGCACCCAGGCCCGAGTTCAAGCCCCATAACTAACAAAAAAATAAATAGATAAACAGCAGGAAATGTGTACTTAAAAGTGGTGGGGTAAGGTCAAGGAGAGACGGGTAGACCAATGAAGAGATGATGAGGGAGAATGCAGTCAAGAATTCAATGTATAGCCTACAAAATTAAGAAAAGTGCAGCCATGCTCTGGTGGCTCATGCCTGTAATCCTAGCTACTCAGGAGGCTGAAATCGGAGTTTCTCAGTTCAAAGCCAGTCCAGGCAGGAAAATCTGTGAGTCTCTCATATCCACTTAACCACCAGAAAACCAGAAGTGGAGCTGTGGCTCACAGTGGGAAAGTGCTATCCTTGAGTGAAAGAGCTTGTTCAGGGACAGCAGCTAGGCCCTGAGTTAAAGCCCCACAACTGGCACACAAAAAAATTAAAATTAAATTAGAAAGTCCAGACTTACCAATTTGGTTTGACTTGAGAAATAGAGAAAGTTCAGTTTCCTCCATTTGATTTGAGTTTCCAAGTAGTTGGCAATGCACCCTGAGTACTTAAGAGAGGGACTTGGCAGATGGACACAGAAAAGGACTACTCGAAGCTGTGGGCATTGATTAAATAGTTACATGAGAAGGCATAGGCAGAAAAGAAAGTCCAAAGAGAACATTTCTAGAAGTCGTGTCAGAAAACAAGTAATAAGTGAAGCTATCCTGTGAGTGTCCTAGATTCCAGGGCAAGAATGTGAAGCTGCCGGGATTTGTACAAAGAATGGCAGCAGAGAAGCTATATCTCAGTGTTCAGAGGTCAGGAAGTAGAAATTACCCTTTGTCCCTAGACAAAGAGTAAGGGAGAGTTAAGAAAAAGGGTAATGGCTGACTCTAAAATTGTGTTAGAAGTTATACTTCTTTGTATGACTTACATTTAATTAAAATTATTCCTTTGAAATTAGTTTGCAACATTTCAAAATTAGAAGATCACACATTTAAAAGTTCTTACTGGGCTCATGTTGTCATGTTAAATAGCAGTACTTTAGCCAACTATGGCTTTATGCAGATGGTTTTTCGGAGAAGACTGACAGAGTCCAGAATGAGAGGGCGTATTGCAGAGGTCAGTGTATGAGATAGTCCTGAACTCAGTTATGAAAAATGAGAGACCTTGTAGGGAAAAAAAACAAGTGATAGAACATAATGACAAATTGCAGACTGAGGAATTAGTGGTGTACTTAGTTCAAAATAAAGAACAGATGTAATTTACACAGAAATAATAGTGAGGAGACTGAGAATACATAGTATTTTCATGAAGAAAAGTAAAATGAGAATCATAGTGGAGGCCTGAGCTTTGGAGGGAGCTCCAGTTGGAGAAAGGAGGGGAAAGAGAACTTGAAGGAAGGAAGAAGTGTAAATTGGGGAAAGCTAAAGTTATTTTTACTCTCATTAAACTTTTCTGGAAGAAGATAAGCTAATAAAACATAATATGCACTAAGAACTTTCAAATCATATTACAAGGCTGGGATAATTTCAAACACAAGCTACTTATTTCCTGATGTCTACTTTCCAGGTGAAAGATTGCTTGATTTGAATTTCTCTGTACAATTTTTCCCTTTTAGGTCTTGGCATGGTCACACCTATCAATGACCTTCATGGTGCAGATACATCCTCCTATGTGAAAGGAGAAAAACTTACTCGTTGTAAACTTGCCAGTCTGTACAGAATTGCAGATTTGTTTGGATGGGCACACCTGGCAAATACATATATTTCAGTGAGTTCTTTAGCTTCTCATTTTCTTACTAAAATCCCAACTAAATGACAAATGTGCGCTTACCTTTACTTGGAAGTTCAGTTTTCAGACTTCATTCCTTGAATCAAGCATCCAGGATCATTGCTAAGTTTCGTCTTGTCTCCAAGAAAGAGGCTACAATTGCCCCAACTTTCTACTCCCCTTACAGTCTGTGTTGTTCTTGTGATATAGAACAGTTGTAAGACCTATATTGGAAGAAATCTATAGCAAAATTGTCTCTCTCCATGTTAAACATTTCTGAGCCACAGTCATTAAAAAGCATTTGCGGCAAGAAAAACAAGAGGGTCAGAAAACTTCCTCCCTGGTCTTAAATCTCTTAAATATGCTTTTTCTGTTTACCATTTAGTTTTTGCCTTTCCACACTTGGAACCAAGACACTATTTAAAATGAAAAAGTATTAAAATACTATGTGATAATAGCTGGTATGGTAGACTAGCAGTCTTCCTTTATTTCCCATTTCTTAAGTTTCCTTTACATCTCCACCCTAATACCTTCCTAGGAAGAAATTTTGTTTTCTTTCCTGACAATCGCCAATAATTTCATTGCCAAATTGGATTGACTGATATTGGCCTTTGTTTTTCATGAATGTAGCTGATCCTACAGCAGCCTTAAAATCCTAAAATAACACTAAGTAAGTATAATAGATGGGAAATACATCAAAAATTTTGAGTAAGTACTTAGGAGTTAGTGGAAACTTTTAAGGACAGATTCGTGTTGTAGACCTGGAATTTTTCCTTGGATGTTTTTTCCCAAATGCCCTATAATCATTCATAATATATTTATAGTCACACTTACGTTGCAAATATGAATGTTTTAAAGTAAATCCCTATTGTTTTTTCTTTCTTCCAGGTAAGAATAAGTAAAGAACAAGACCACATTATAATAATTCCCAGAGGCCTATCTTTTTCTGAAGCCACAGCCTCCAATTTGGTATAATTTTCATTCCTATATTACTTTCCCTGAGCCTCCCTTGTGTTTTTCTGACAGGTTTTTTGTTTGTTTTGTTTTTGGTCAGTCATGGGGCTTGAACTCAGCCTTTGCTCAAAGCCAGCACTCTACCACTTGGAGCCACAGCTCCACTTCTGGTTTTTGAGTGGTTAATTTGCTATAAGAGTCTCACAGGGACTTTCCTGCCTGGGCTGACTTTGAACTATGATCCTCAGATCTCAGCCTCCTGAATAGCTGGAATTACAGTTGTAAGCCACCAGTGCCCAGCTTCAGTTTTCAGCTTTTAGCACAGGATGGAACAAGAAAAAAAAACATACATGGAAAAAACATATACTAAGAAAAATGATTAGGTTTAGGAAATAATATTTATTTTTAAGAAAACTTAGGGTTCAAGAAAAATAAGATGGGCCGGGCGCTAGTGGCTCACGCCTATAATCCTAGCTACTCAGGAGGCTGAGATCTGAGGATTGTGGTTCAAAGCCAGCCCAGGCAGGAAAGTCTGTGAGACTCTTACCTTCAATAAACCATTCAGAAAACTGGAAGTGGTGCTGTTGCTCAAGTGGTAGAGAGCTCATCTTGAGATGAAGAGCTGAGGGACAGTGAGTGCCCAGGTCCAGAGTTCAAGACCCATGACTGACCAGAAAAAAAAGAAAAGAAAAGGAAAGAAAAATATGATGGTTGAAGAAACTAATAAATGATTTGAAATTGTCAGTTAATTTGTTCATGTTTTGATTTTGTTATTTTTGTTTATTGGGATTTCTGTTTTAGTACTGGGGTTTGAACTTAGGGCTTCATTTTGCACTGGTTATTTTGGAGATGGAGTCTGAATCTCATGGACGTTTCTGTTCAGGCTGACCTCAAACCATGATCTTCTAGGTAACAGCCTTCTCAGCTAGAGTTAGAGGCATGAGCCCCCAGTACCTGGCTTCCTATTCATGTTTTGAAAAGAGCTTTTTGAATTATGTCCACTCTGTACGCACTAAAACGTTTTTTAAAACATGCACATACCATCTATGTGTATTTTGTAGTTATCATTTAGTTGGTACGAGCATAGAATCTGACCTAGCATTTTCTTTTTTGCGTAACTATTCCTAGCCATTTTCATGTCATAAAATAGTTGGAGAGACATTGTTCTGGTTGCTTCATTGTTAGCGAGTGAATGTTTTCTAGTCACTTCAACAAGTGCCAGTATACTTGTCCACACCTCCAGTGAAGCGCTTAATTATTCTGTTCCTTAGAAACTACTTCTTGCTAAGTATTTTTATTGTATATTTCCTATTTTGTAAATAGTTTTATAGGATTAAAGCTATATCTTTTATCTTACAAATTGTTTTTGGCTGCCTTTGTACTATAGTAGTAAATTGGGTAGTTGTGTTTAAAATATTTACTATCTGGCCTTTTACACAAAAACTTTACCATTCTGTGGATTGGCTTGTAGAACCCAAAAAAACATTGACACGTGTGAACCAATTGAGTATGTTTTTCATTTTTCCAGGTAAAAGTCAACATAATAGGAGAAGTGGTTGACCAGGGAAGTACTAATTTGAAAGTTGACCATACAGGATTCAGTCCCCATGCTGCAATCTATTCAACGCGTCCGGATGTTAAATGTGTGATACACATCCACACCCTTGCCACAGCAGCTGTAAGTCCACAGAGGACCAGAACCAATCAATAATGATTCTGGAAAATACTGTTTTTGTGGCATTTATTTCCATTCTTTTAGATTTGCCATTCAAAATTGTTTGAAATTTGCTGCATACCCAAAAAGTACAATAGCTTTGGGGATCAAATGCTACCATTCTCGGAAACAACTGGAAAAACAGCATTTTTAGAGCAAAGTTTTTGTTTTTATAATATTTGGCACAGCATTTAAATTGTGTTGCATCCCCTAAATTTTGTTTTTGTTTTTTTGGAATAAGTGAAGAACTTAAAAGTGGGAGGTGTGCTGCAATGTTGAATATGATTAACCAGGGCAGTGCTCCCTAAGTTGTATAAAGAATCAGCTTCCTATAACAGTGTATGCAATAGCTAAATGTGTTATCTGTGGTATGTACCTAATCAAATAGGTGTCCTCGATGAAGTGTGGAATCCTCCCAATTTCTCAGGAATCTCTTATTCTGGGAGATGTGGCTTATTATGACTACCAAGGGTCACTTGATGAGCAGGAGGAGAGAATTCAACTGCAGAAAGTTCTGGGTCCAAGTTGTAAGGTGTGTAGTAAATTTACTACCCTAAGGAGTTAATTTTTGTTGCTGCTACTGGTGATGAATACAGTATGAGAGCTATGCCAGTTATGTAAAGTGACTGCCCTGGGGATTCTATTTTAGGTGCTGGTACTCAGAAATCATGGAGTAGTAGCACTTGGAGAAACAGTTGAAGAAGCTTTTCATTATATTTTTTGTGTACAGATGGCCTGTGAGATTCAGGTAGGAGAAATGATTCTCCCTTTCTTACTGCTTTATTATTTGCTTATTTAGTTGGATTTTGTGTTTATTTCCAAAGCTCTATTGATCAGTAGCATTTTGTTTTAAAAGTACTACTTTACCCAAGTAAAAAAGGGACATGAACTTAGTCACGTATGGAATTGAAAATAAGAAAATGTGCATTGCAACACACACACACACACACCCCGAAACCTTACACACACACACGCACCGAAACCTTATAAATATAATCTTCCCACTAATCTTACTTTCTCCATTTCTCCATTTTCTCACTCTAGTACTGGTACTAATAGATAAAAACAGCTGCAAATCATGAAACATGTGTTGTAGCCATTTTTTTAAGCTAGGATTAATTTCATAAGTATTTGATTTTGTTTTTATGCTGATCCTAGAGCTTGAACTCGGGGCCTGAGTGCTGTCCTGCACTTTTCTGCTCAAGGCTAGTACTCTACCATTTGAACCAAGCTTCACTTCTGTACTTTGGTGATATAAGAGTCTCAAACACTTTTCCAGCTTCAAACCATGATCCTCAGATATCAGCCTCCTGAGTAGCTAGGATTACAGGCATGAGCCAATGGCGCCCAGCTAATATAAGTTTTTTGAACTCATAGAGTTCCCAACAATTCCTTAGTATTTTTATTATAGTAGATTAGATGTTTATTTTTATTTTTTTCTCAGAGAAGGTGAGGGTATATAGACCCTAATTTCCCTCTTAAAATCAAGCAGATTCTCTTGAAACAAATACTAATTTATTTGAAAGAGCACAGCAAAAAAATTTTTTAGCTGTTTTAGTTTTTTTTTGTTTTGTTTTTGTTTTAGTTTTTCCTAGACAGGGTCTCACTATATAGCCAGGCTGGCCTTGCCTTTGCTTCCTGAGTGTTAGAATTACATGCCTGAACCACAATACCCAGCCTCTTTCTACGAACTTTAACTTAGTTAGCTTCTTCTTTCTGACAATGGTTCTTTTTTTCAAATGAGACTATGGAAAGCTTAATTAACACAATAAACTGTAACGTCTGCCAAAATGTTCTTAAATTTAAAGTGCAATATCTCTATTCCTTTCAAATTATACCTTTCAATAAAGGCTTTAAATAGCTATCCATAGAAATCTTCAAGAAAAGAACTTTGAAATTTGGGGAGTGACTCAGTTGTTTGAAATATGTTAAGGTATGGCTCTATCTGAATATGTTTTCCAGCAAGAGAATCAGAATTTTAGAAAGCAACTTTTTTACATTCAGGAAAAAGACACTTGGCTGCCAATTTGCACAGTAGTGTTACTTTGTTTTTGTTGATAGTAGTCAGAACAAGCATTATGGGTATTTGCCAAATTGAGATTGTGCCTTTTTGACAGTAAAGTACTCATGACAGTCTTTATTATTTTGAATCTTTATTATATGTTTTACCATTGGTTACAGGTACGGGCAATAGCAGGAGCAGGTGGAATAGATAATCTTCTTATACTGGATCTTCAGAAGTATAAAGCTTACACTCATAATATTGCAGCAACTGGTGGAGGAGGTGTTAATATGGGTTCCCATCAGAAGTGGAAGGTTGGCGAGATTGAGTTTGAAGGACTGATGAGGACTTTGGACAATTTGGTAGGTAAAAAATTAAACATAAACTTGAGTTATATGTCTTCAGATTCAAGAGACGTCACTTCTGTCTCCTTTTGGTTTTAGAACATGCTCCTTACTCTTTCAAGACTAGAGCTTGACTCTAGCAAGACATTTTGATATAATTTAAACATATTTTTAGGAAGGTAACGTTTCTGATCAGAAATGTAGAAGTCAGGAGCTGGGAAGGTGGCTCAGTGGTAGAGTGCTTGCCTTGCATGCTTGAGGCCCTGGGTTTAATTCCTCAGCACCACATAAGCAGAAAAAGCCTGAAGTGATGCTGTGGCTCAAGTGGTGGAGCTCTAGCTTTAAGCTGAAGAGCTGAAGGACAGCCCCCAGGCCCAGAGTTCAGGCCCCATGATCAACAACAACAACAACAACAAAATAGAAATCACTTTTGTCAGGGAAAATAAATAGTGTGATTGGAAGCTGCAGTGCCATCTGAAGTCAGTTTTACTTAGATCTTGAAATTTGCTTAATTTCAAATTCAGTATTATGTGGAGGTTCTATCGGGTGTAAGAGAATGTTTTAACCTTTGTTTTTCAATGAAAACATCATTTTAATCATTTGTTTAAAGAAATAGACTTCAAATGCTGTACAGGTTTAATAGCTTTGAATGTCGTTTCTCCCTCCCTTAGGGGTACAGAACAGGCTATGCTTATAGGCATCCTCTCATTCGAGAGAAGCCCAGACACAAAAGTGATGTGGAAATCCCAGCAACTGTGACTGCTTTTTCCTTTGAAGATGATACAGTACCACTGTCTCCTCTCAAATACATGGCACAGAGACAGCAGCGTGAAAAAACGAGATGGCTGAATTCCCCAAATACTTACATGAAAGTGAATGTGCCTGAGGAGTCTCGGAATGGGGAAACAAGTCCCAGGACCAAAATCACAGTATGCCACTATTTTACATCATTTGCTATTTCTAAATATTTTGCCTGGTTACTCATGAACTGAATATTCTGTGTTTCAGTTATTGGGGAAGAAGAATATAATATTGGTATCATTTACAAGGTTATAAACCCACTGTGTTTTATCCTCTGTTTAAAGTGTTATACATGAATTAGATTACTTAATTCTCATAACATAAAATAGATGTTATTTTCTCCCTACTTTACCAATGAGAAAACAGGCAGGAGAGCTAACTAATCTTTTTTGATGATAGAGTCAGACTTTGAATGCCAGTAGTCTAACTCAAGCTTTGTTCTTGTTCACTACATGATATTAAAATATAGCTTATTGCAGCAGTGAATTAGAACTGTTAAAACTACCAATATGAAGTTGTGCCAAACAAGATCTTATATGTAGAGATGAAACAGGTTATTTTACCTTCTTTAGAATTGTTTCACATTTGTTTGGTTTTAGAGAACTATATATACCAAGCGTTCTGTAAGTATTCAAGATTAGTTATTCAAAATCAGTAACATCAGTGGAAATTCCTTAGGCATCAAAATGTTTTTCCTTAGTCTAAATGTTAATCTTCTCTAAGGGTTGAAATGTGGAGTAAATAAGTTACAAAAAATAGGCTAGAAAACTGTCTCTCTGATACAGTTGAATCCTTTTCATTGACTTCTTAGCCATCATTTGATGTAATTCAATGCAGAAAGCAGAACTCTGGATGTGAGTGCATACAGATCAGGCTGTATTTGAAATAGTTTCCTCATCATACTTGCAGTTATCAAGAGGAAAAAGTTTAACAGTGTGACTGAGTATACATGACTGAGTATACAAGTGAACTGTAACTGCATTTGATAATTTTTAAGTGAATGCATTTATAATGCATTTTCTAACAAGTGTGAGATACAAAATGACCACTAATATATTGTTTAGTGAGATTCTTTGAAAGATTGACAATATATGTCCCCCTGGAGATTATACTTGCTCAATACCTAATCATCTTTCCTTGATGCAAAGCTTCATTCTAATAAATGTTTTATTCTTTAGTGGATGAAAGCAGAGGACTCCTCTAAAGTTAGTAGTGGAACACCTATCAAAATTGAAGATCCCAATCAGTTTGTTCCTTTAAATACAAACCCGAATGAGGTTCTAGAAAAGAGAAATAAGGTAAGGCAAAGTCTCTGTAGCCAAATGAGACATTTTATTCTCTTGCATGTTTAAATCACTAGTGATGAAATATGATTACTAACAAGCTTAATTTGAATACAGAAAAACTTGATTCAGTAATATTAGTTTATATCAAATAATTCTAGCCCTGTCCTTGGTGAACAAGCTACATGAGAGAAAAGTGTTAAACATATTTTTGCCTTGAAGAGTCCTGGTATTACTAACAGTGTAAGACAACAGAAAATTACATACCAGGAAGAAGGGGGATTAATGAGAGTGTTACAGATGGTGAAAGGGGTCTTTATAAAAGTGGAAGTTGATTAGACTCTTACTTGGAAGTATCAAATAATAAGCTTTCAGTCAAAAAGGAGGCAAGTTATCTATACAGTTGTACCCAAGAACTTGTTACTGTGTTTCACTTCAGATTCGGGAACAAAACAGGTATGACTTGAAAACAGCAGGACCACAGTCTCAGCTGCTTGCCGGAATTGTTGTGGATAAACCTCCTTCTGTAAGTCTGAAGCAACAACATCTTTTTTATCTGCCACATTAACTTTTCTTTCCTTTTAAATAGGATTTTTTTATTTTAAAATTAAAATGAATTAATAAGAGGTCCCAATTCAAACCCTAGTACCACCAAAAAAAACAAAAAAAAAAATAGTCCACAAAACTTCAAAGAACACCCTCAAATTCTAGGGGTAAGAACTTTCCACTTTTTAAATTGCTTCTAGCAATTAAAAAATGCTTCTACCAATTGTCTTCATGTTTCTATATCTTTATGAGATAGGAATGCATACTTGTGATCTCAGCTACTTTGGAGGCTAAAGCAGGAAGACTGCAAATTTGAGGCCAGCCAGGGCTATATAATAAATCTTGTTATGTAGCGTTATACTTCCAACCAGGTATAACTCAAATGATAGAAGTACTATTGTGAGGTTCTGAATTAAAGCCCCAGTACAGTCTCTCTCTTTCTCTTTCTCTCTCTCTCTCTCTCTCTCACACACACACACACATACACACACAGCATTTTCTTGTTATTTATCAATTTCAGACCTCATCATTATCATTACACTGCAAGTTATATTGTAGGAAACTATAAATTATGAGTTGATTTCCAATTTCAGACAAGAGAAAATACAAGGAAGAGTTTATTTAAAATTAAATAATAGCTGGGCGTTAATGGCTCACACCTGTAATCTTAGGTACTCAGGAGGCTGAGATCTAAGGATTGCAGTTCAAAGCCAGCCTGGGCAATCTCCAATTAACCACCAAAAACCAGAAGTGACACTGGCTCAAGTGGTAGAGCGCTCATCTTGAGCTGAAGAACAGGGACAGTTCCCAGGCCCAGAGATCCATGACTGAACAAAAAAAAAAAATTTTGTGGGCGTGTGGAAATAATTTTCCCGTGAAATATGAAGTGTATTATACTCTTGTCTTCTGACTGTTAAGTGTTTCTCTCTTCTTTGGTCATGGATCTTATCTCTGGGCCTGAGCGCTCTCCCTCAGCTCTTCAGCTCAAGGCTAGCATTCTACTACTTGAGCCACAGTGCCACTTCTAGTTTACTGGTGGTTTATTGGAGATAAGAGTCTCACAGATTTTCCTGCCCACGCTGGCTATGAACCATGACCTTCAGATCTCAGCCTCCTGAGTAGCTAGAATTACAGGTGTGAGCCACGGGCACCCGGCCTGACTGTATTTCTAAGAGGAAAGTTTATAATTCTACGTTCCTAAACTGAAAAAATAATCAGATACTATGTGCCAATCTATGGCTTCAACCCCTAGTACTTCAGGAAAAAGAGAAAGAGGGGAGAGAGATTAAATAATGTTCTATCTCAAAGTTACAGAAAAATAAAAAACCAGCCCTAAAACCAGTAGAAGGAAGGTAAAAGCTGTAATTAAAACTAATATATGGGCTGGGAAGGTGGCTCAGTGGTAGAGCGCTTGCCTTGCATGCATGAGGCCCTGTGTTTGATTCCTCAGCACCACATAAGCAGAAAAAGAAAAAACCGGAAGTGGTGCTATGGCTCAAGTGGTAGCACGCTAGCCTTGAGCTGAAGAGCTGAGGGACAGTGCCCAGGCCCAGAGTTCAGACCCCACGACCAGACCAAAAAAACGAACAAAAAACTAATATATATATATATACACATATATATATTATACTAATATATTTATATAGATATGATCAGTAAAATAAAGAATTGTTCTTTGGAAGTAAGATCAACAAACCCTTAACAAAACTAAAAGAGAGCAAAGACCCAAATTAGTAAAAGATAAAAGGGGAATAATACAGTAGATACCAATGAAATTCAGATCATTGAACAATATGTTGAAAAATCATATTCCAATAAATTAAAATCTTGGGGGAAAGGGATAAATTTCTAGATACATATGATCTATCAAAATTGATCAAGAAGACAATAATATACAACAAGTCAAAAGTAGTGATAAACTGCCATCAAAGAAAACATACTGGATAGATTCACTGCTGAATTGTATAAGATCTTTAAAGAAGAATAATACCTCAGTACCTCAATAATTCCTCAAACTATTTTATAAAAAATAGAAAAGAAACAGTTTCGCTCTTCCTACAAAGCTACTAATTGAGATCCCAGCATGTCCATGTTTATTACAGCACTTTTCTCTATAGCCAAGTCATGAGATCAGATTAGGTCCCCCTAAACAAGTAAATAAATAAATGAAGAATATGTGGTATAAAAATGAAAAAGCCGGGCACTGGTGGCTCACACCTGTAATCCTAGCTACTCAGGAGGCTGAGATTGGAACATCACAGTTCGAAGCCAGCCTTGGCAGGAAAGTCCATGTGACATTTATCTCCATTAAACTACTCAGAAAAAGCTGGAAGTAGCACTGTGACTCAAGTGATAGAGCACTAGCCTTGAGCAAAGCAGCTCAGGGACAGAGCCCAGGCCCAGAGTTCAAGCCCCAGGACTGGGGAAAAAAAATGATATATTATGAGAATAGATGGAACTTCATGAAGATCATTTATAATGTTAAGTGAAATAAACCTTCCCATATAAGGAAGAATGTAAGATCATGAAAAATTAAAGTAGACAGGAACTATTAAGAAAATGTGTTATATGCATGCACAAAAGTGTCATTCACAACCATCATTTTATACAATTGATTTATGCTGATAAAAATTCGTGTTTCTTTATTATCATTTAAGTGGAGTTTGGGGAAGGATAAAAAATACATAAATTCTGGGCTGGGAAGGTGGCTCAGTGGTAGAGTGCTTGCCTTGCATGAGGCCCTGGTTCGATTCCTCAGCACCACATAAGCAGAAAAAAATGAAGTGGCGCAGTGGCTTAAGTGATACAGCTCTCTCCTTGAGCTGAAGAGCTGAGGGACAACCCCCAGGCCCAGAGTTCAGGCCCTATGACTGACACACACTCACAAAAAGATAGATAGAACATAAATTCTATCTACCAAGTATAACAAAGTCTCATTAATATATTTTCTATTTTATTTTCAAAATGAATTTAAAGATGTTCTTTTAATGCAGTTTTAATTTTTTCTAAGTCTTACAAAGGTTGGTGAAGTGAAGCAGTTCTTGTTTTTTCAAAATATTTCTTATGTGAAGTTTATTAGAGCTTATCTTACTTTTTTTAAGTTACAAACAGCTACACACTGGTTGGCTCACGCCTATACTCCTAACTACTCAGGAGACTGAGATCTGAAGATCATGGTTCAAAGCCAGGCCAGGCCCGAAAGTCCATGTGACTTACCTCCAATTAACCACTAGAAAACCAGAAGTGGAGCTGTGGCTCCAAGAGGTAGATCACTAGCCTTGAGCAAAAAAGGGTCAGAAACAGTTCCCAGGCTCTGAGTTCAAGCTCCACCACCACTAACAACAACAAAAAAGTGAATAGACTGGGAATGTAGATCACTTATTGAATAGAAGGCCCTGGGATTCACAGCATCACAGAAAATAATAAAATCTTCGTATTCATCTTTATAGAGAAATTAGCAATTTTAATTCATTGGATCTGTAGATTCCAGGAGTGTTAAATCTGAGTATTTAAACAAAAAATGTTGTTTTGTCATTTCTTACAATTGCTTTGAAGTAGGGAGTCACAAACATGTAGACATTTATATATTTATTTATATATATATATGTTTCTCTGTATTTGCATGGATGGATGGATGCATGGATGGGCAAATGGGTAGAAAACTGGATAATGAATCTAGTTTTTTTCTTTGTAAGACTATGCACTTTGATGATGATGATCATGGCCCACCAGCTCCTCCTAACCCATTCAGTCATCTCACAGAAGGAGAACTTGAAGAATATAAGAAGACAATCGAAAGGAAACAGCAAGGTCTGGAAGGTTAGTTAATTATTAGATTAACTCTGGGATAACCACATTAGAACACCTCAAGTTGGATGATAAAAGACATTCATGAGTTTTAAACTACCTTTTTATACTTGTTCTATTTCATCACCAAATGCAAGTCAGGCTGAAATGCAAAGAGCTACCCCATAACAGGGAGAGAAAACTTCAAAAAGCAGTTTAAATGCTGGCTATTTCTAAAATGAAAACCCTAAACCAGGTGCTGGTAGTTCATGCCTGTAATCCTAGCAACTCAGGAGGCTAAGGTCTGAGAATTATGGTTCAAAGCCAGGCCAGGCAGAAAAGTTCATGAGACTCTTATCTCCCGTTAACCACCAGAAAATGGAAGTGGAGATGTGGCTCAAAGTAGTAGAGTGCTAGCCTTGAATGTAAAAAGCTCACGGATAGCACCCAGGCCCTGAGTTCAAGCCCCACAACAAGACAGAAAAAGAGGGGGGAGGAGGCAGGAAGGAAGGCAGGAGGGAAGGGAGGAAGGAAGGAGGGAGGGGGGGAAGGAAGGAAGGAAGGTCCCAGATGAGCAAAGAAGTACTAGCAAACTAGATACATATGTACTAATAGATTTAAACATTTCATGATATGTAGCTTCTTCCAGACATGTTATTTTGAAATTGTCACAATTCACAAGTGTGATTTTAACATGAAAAAAAAAAAATCTTCATCCCTTGTATCTTAACATACCAACCAGTATGGTCATTTCAAAGTCAACATTTAAAACAAACTTTCAGAATTTTGATTTGACTTTTCTTAAGTATGTGCATTCTAATGCAGTTGAGGTGTTATGACTTTGGAACTCTTAATAAGTAGTTTATTAGTATTTTAGTTAAGGATTGTTCATAAAGAACTAGACTTAGTGGCACATATTTGTAACCCCTGCACTTGGCAAGAGAATCACAAATTCAAGACCAGAGTAGGCTATTTAACAAGATGCTGAATTTTTTTTAAACTGTCTTGTTAATAAAATGCCCTTGCTAATTGGATACTAATTGGAAACTTTGAATAAGTTTCAGACAGTCCATGAATCACCTGAAAAATATAGATGAATTGTATATGATATACATGTGGAAATGAATGGCTTTAGAGACCCTAAAAGAAGGTGCGAGCTTCTGCTTTAGTTCATCTGCAACATACAGTTAAGAATTTTTACACAAAATAAAGCAGAAGCCATTAAAGAATTTTTATCCATACTGGGTGCCAGTGGCTCACACCTGTAATCCTAGCTACTCAGGAGGCTGAGATCTGAGGATCACGATTCAAAACCAGCCCCGGCAGGAAAGTCTGTGAGACTCCAGAAACCAGAAGTAGCATTGTGGTTCAAGTGGTAGAGCACTCGCCTTGAGCTGAAGAGGTGAGGGACAGTGCCCAGGCCCAGAGTTCAAGCCCCACCACTGACCAAAAAAGAATTTTTATCCATGTGTTAGTGCCTTTGTCACAAAAACAAGTTATCTTAACAAATTAATGTACTTACACTAAATGTTCTGAGTTGCTTATTGAACTTTTCTGACGTAAATAGGAAGTTTTCTGTGTTACTTGGTGTTTTGTTAAATGTCCCTTTTTATTTTTACTTTTTGAAAGCCTAATGATGCCAGGTAAAACAAATATTGTATTCTAGAACTATCTTCTTTTTTATATAAATTTTAAGTAGTTTCTTTTTATATTTACTGACCTCCTGAATTAACTCACTAATATTTCTCTAACAGCAATTATTAATTTGGTATTTTCAAAACTTTAGCAAACCATTCTGCCTTGTTAATGTGGCAGCATTGATGAGGCTTCAGAATTCTCTTTGTTGGATTGCTCAGTCGATTTTGGTTTCCTAACACTAGCTAAATACACACATAGTATTTGCCTGGACTGCCAACAGCTGTGTTTCCTTTTTAACCCTGTATGTATATAATGACTGTTAACAGCCAGAGTCTTAATACACTAATCTCCTTTTGATGTATAATTATTGGTCTATGTAATAACTATTAGCATGCTCAGATCCTAGCTGAGGAATTTATCATCTCTGTATATAGTCATTTGATATATTCACTAACCTCCCTGAAATCTCATGCTTCTTTGTTTTGCATGGCTTATAACTAAACTCTTATCCTACAGACGCTGAGCAGGAATTACTCTCAGATGACGCTTCATCTGTTTCACAAATTCATTCTCAAACTCAGTCACCGCAAAATGCCCCTGAAAAATTTGAAGGTATTCAATGAAATTTTTGTCAAGTTCAGTGTTTTTGAGAGCCTGCCCCATTATTTGTATTTATATAAGAAACTAAATGATTGCTCACAGTAAGCATACCATGGATTTTACTTAAACCTTTTAGTAATTTTACATTTTATTAATGTGATGCTACTTTTGCTCAACATGTATAGATTTACTTTAATCTGGATTTCATCAACCAATAGTTCTTTTAAATTAGTATTTAATTAGTTGTACAAAGAGGTTGAAATTCAACCTGACAGTTATGAGTACAATGCATATTCTATAGTTCATAAGAATTTGTGGAATTAAAATTAATGGGTTATGACATGCATCTTTCAATCAGGAGCATGAAATTGTTTTCAGTTTTGATTGTCAAATGAGCCCAAAACGAAACAAAAGTATATATTATCTTTTCTTATAGTGACTTGGTTTACAATGAAACTGTCATACCATCAAACAAGAATTATCTAGCCTTGACTTTTAGACATAGAAACTTTGTTTTCTTCTCCTTGATATCATTTAAGAAAGGTAGCTTCATGCTGATAGATTCAGTTTATTAAAATAATGATTTCATTAGAATAAAAGCAATGCCTTAGTACATTGCTAATAAACCTTTTTGTTTTTAAAATTAGCAAAAAAACGTTAACCAAGTAAAATAACCACCCCCCCCAAAAAAATACCTCCCCTTTTGTAGAAAACCATGAGCTGTTTTCCAAGAGCTTCATCTCCATGGATGTACCTGTCATGGTAGTAAACGGCAAGGATGACCTACATGATGTTGACGATGAGCTTGCTAAGCGAGTGAGTAAATTAACTACAAGCACGACCTTAGAGAACATCGAAATTACCATTAAGTCACCAGAGAAGATTGAGGAAGTTCTGTCACCCGATGGTTCACCATCAAAATCACCATCCAAGAAAAAGAAGAAATTCCGCACTCCTTCTTTTCTGAAAAAGAACAAAAAAAAGGAGAAAGTTGAAGCCTAAAGTTTTTTTGTAATTATTATTCTACAATGTGACATTGCACATTTAAATACAACATTTAAGTTGATCATTAATATACAGTGGTAGATCAGATTTGGGGTATGTAGCAAACTGGACTTCAAGAACTGGAAAGAGGTTTTACTAAAAGAAAAACATGAAAAAAACTTTCAAATTCATCTCTTTTTATATTTCCAAAATGGCTTTGAATTTTAAGGCATTTTCTAGTTTTAGTTAGCTCTATCCTCATAAAGTATAATATAGTTCACCACTAACAGATATCTGTCTGAATTACTTCAGGCCTTCTCCATAATAACTGCTGGAAAGAAATTGCCAATGAACAACTGAGAATTATTATTTCTCAACACCTGCTTCACTTGGTAATCAGATTATAATTTTTTTTTTTTTTTTTTTTTTTGGATCCGGTCGTGGGGCCTGAACTCTGGGCCTGGGTGCTGTCCCTCAGCTCTTCAGCTCAAGGCTAG